CCTGCAATGATTGTGAGGTCAAATACATAGGTCAAACTAGTAGAACAGGGGCAGTCAGACTAGCCGAACATAAAAACCTAGCTAAATCTAGATTGGTTGACCCGAATAAGATAAGAAATCTAGAGAGTAGTTCAGCTATAGCACTACATGCAGTTACACACAACCATACAATAGGATGGGATAGGATGACAGTTTTAAAATCTAATGTCACAGGGTATAGGGAGAGATTGATAACAGAAGCTTTGTTTATCGAATCAACTGCAAATACATGTAATAGGAATGATTCAACACCTGTCCCAGATATATGGAAAATTCTACTGCCCATACAACAAATAGGAGAAGACAGAGAAAACTATAAAAATCAAATCTCGAAGTCGTGTGACAAAAATTGATATGATTATGAACAATAAATTGTGTTCGAAACGTCATCCAGTATACAATACTGTTTCACTGTGTGATATATTTAATAATCAAACTAATATGGAATTACTTAATACCACAGTGCCCAAGTTTTACACATATATTAACATGACTTATGGTCTTCCTGTACGAAGACTTATCAATAAACTCACTCGACTTTCACAAACTGAAGCAAGATATGAAAATCACCGTATTTTTAACATTCGATGCTTAAAAAATGAAATCATTCCTAAATATGTACGTCTACGAGCTCCAGTTCCAACAGACAGAGTTAGAAGCAGAATAGAAAGTCTACAAAAATTATGCCTGAAAGAAGAGATCCACAGAATCGTTAGAAAATTACAACATATCAGATGTGAAATTGAGGAATTAAAACAAAAGCTAAAAGGAATAGTTTCCAATGTAGATTATGATCTTATAACACAATCCTCCAACAATGCAAAATCAGCCACTTTCAAAAAGTCAAAAAATAGTCAAATCAAAAAGTTCAACAAATTATTAGAGGAGAAATCTTCATCTCAGAATAATGAAGTCAACAATCGAAAATCAACGGCGATCGATAAATCAAAGTGGGTTATCAATCTCTCATCACATATATTAAGTCCGATGGAAATAAGTGTATTAGAAAAGGGACTAAACTTCAATGTAGCAGTGGACAAGCTAAAACCTGAGGATGTCATCCCTAAAATAGAAATAGCACTAAGTGGGATAGACAAAACAACAGCTGAAGAAGTACGTGCACAATGTGCACTTACATTAAAACGACAAAAATGTGGAAAACCTAACCTGACAAAACAAGAGACAAAAGCCCTAAAACACCTCAAGAATAACAAGGATATAGTAATCACAAAGTCAGACAAAGGGAACGCAACAGTAGTATTAGACAAATCGGACTATTTGGACAAGGTAAATACTCACATACAAACAGGACCATATGAGGAAATTAATAAATCAATAGACACAGTTATGAATAAAGTTAAGAAATCCACAGCGGACCTTATACGCCGAATGAAGCCGTTTCTAGGTGAGTCTAAGTGGTTTAATTTAATGCCAAAAACTAATAACCCCAGTAGGATGTATGGTGTTGTTAAAATTCATAAATCAGGATACCCTATTAGGCCTATAGTTGATTTTAGAAATTCACCTACCTATGAATTATCTAAATATTTAGCCATGGTATTAAATCCCCTAAAAATCCACTCGAAATCTAGACTAACTAATTCTTATGAACTAAAACACAGATTAGGTGATTTAAAATTAGATAATGAAGAAAAAATGGTTAGTTTTGACATTGTCAGTTTATATACACGTATACCAATAAATATGGCTATAGAGGCGGTCAGAAACGAACTCATTTCTGACCAAGAACTCGAACTTAGGACAAAAGTACCAATTGAGGACATAATGCTGGGAGTACAGCTTTGCCTGACTTCTACAGTATTTAAATTCCAAGGGAAAATATACAAACAAACTGAGGGAGTTGCCATGGGATCACCAATATCCCCAGTGGTAGCAGATATATTCATGGATAGGTGGGAAAAGATAGCGATTGAAACGTTCACCCCCACCCCAAAAGTATGGTGGAGGTATGTAGATGACACATTCACTGTACTTAGAACACAAGATATAGATAGATTTTTCGAGCACATCAACTCGAAGGTAGAGGCAATTCAATTCACTTATGAATTGGAAAGTCAGGAAGGGGAACTTCCAATGTTAGATTGCAACGTTAAAAGGAAAGAAGATGGGAAGCTAAACACTAGTGTTTACAGAAAACCCACACATTCAAACAGATATTTGGATTTCCGATCATCCCATCCTATGTCAGTAAAAATAGGATTAGTGAAATGTTTAAATGACAGAGCACAAAAACTAAGTAGTACCAAGGAAAATCTAAGACAGGAAGTGACACACATAAAAGAAGCCTTGAAACTTAATAATTACCCGGATAAATTAGTCAAGAAATATGTAAGTAAATGTAAAAATAAAATAAATAATGATAACAGAGATAGTGATAATAATAATAATAATGATAACAATAATAATAATGGTAATAATAATAGTAATAATAATAATATTAATAACGACACCAACAATAAGGAATGTAAATCATCAACAATAATTCCATACAAAGAAGGAACCTCGGAAGCCTTACGCAGAATTCTTAACAAGGCAGGAATAAAAGTGGCATTCAAACCCACAAACTCAATTAGAAACAAGCTTTGTCGGTTAAAGGATCCTGTAGAGCCATTAAAACAAAACAATTTAGTTTATCTAATACCCTGCAATGATTGTGAGGTCAAATACATAGGTCAAACTAGTAGAACAGGGGCAGTCAGACTAGCCGAACATAAAAACCTAGCTAAATCTAGATTGGTTGACCCGAATAAGATAAGAAATCTAGAGAGTAGTTCAGCTATAGCACTACATGCAGTTACACACAACCATACAATAGGATGGGATAGGATGACAGTTTTAAAATCTAATGTCACAGGGTATAGGGAGAGATTGATAACAGAAGCTTTGTTTATCGAATCAACTGCAAATACATGTAATAGGAATGATTCAACACCTGTCCCAGATATATGGAAAATTCTACTGCCCATACAACAAATAGGAGAAGACAGAGAAAACTATAAAAATCAAATCTCGAAGTCGTGTGACAAAAATTGATATGATTATGAACAATAAATTGTGTTCGAAACGTCATCCAGTATACAATACTGTTTCACTGTGTGATATATTTAATAATCAAACTAATATGGAATAAATAAATAAGACCCAAAAAGCGGGGGTTGGACGTGAGGCTAGTGTAACACCCAAATAAAAACGCCACCACTACTAAAAATTCAATGCTTGAAGTCTTATGTTCCACTTGGAAAGCAAGGAATCAATTTGGGTCTGGTAACCTGTATGTTTTAACGAATTAATTTTACACTAGCTAATACTGCTTTTCAAGAAGTACAGTAACTGTGCGTGGGTACCGCACGGCTTAGCCTTATGAATCCATGAAGTTTCGTAAAATTGTCGACCAACTTACTAAGCTTATCAACAACCAATATCAATACCTATGATATTTCTATTTCTAATATAAGCAAATGAACGAAGATACCTATGGGCACAAACATTTTGCATAACTTCTAGATACGGCGTTCACGTCCCATCTGATGGATAGCTGGATGATCAGGCCTGCACCATTCTGTATTATCAAAACATGTCAACAACTAAAATGAAAGTTTTTCGTTATCTTAAGTTCTATTCGATAATTAAGCTAGTTTAGCAACAACGCTCAGATAGTTTATTCAATGAAAATATCAGGTTATCAATGACATGATTTTATAATTCTAAAAGTAACTGGTGTGACGAAAGTTTCAGCAATACAATTTAGTTTACTATCACATAAAATTACACTATGCAGTTAAGATAAGCGGAAATTTCGAATAAATAATAATAGTAATAATAATAAGTAAAATATCAATGATAATAGTCACACATACATCACAGTGCCCAATAATGAATGAGCTGCACAGATTACTACTTAAACAAACACTGTAAGTAGTCACATAAGTATATGCCGAAAAAAAGCAACAAATTAAATTAAGATCACAGTCAATAAATAAACTATCTGTAGTAAGTAAAATAATAAAATTAGAAGTCAAATTAGTTTAAATGCAACTATAGAGTACCAAATGCTTAAAAAATATTCCCAGAATGAAATATGCATGATAAATATAGAATAACCTGTACAAAAAAAACATTCCTGTGTTAAATTAAATTTCGCTGCCCAATGCAACACACAACACTATGTGGAATGGACACCAAATGATTGATAAATGTTTTTGAGCATTAAACAAATTCAAGTAAAGCAGTTACACAAACAGAATAAATCAATGAATGTCAGCAGAATTATTCAGGAAAGAAAAGAAAAGATTGAAAAGACAAATTAGTGGATATAAATAATAAATGCATAGGACTTCAAAAGGAGGATGAAAACAAAGAAAAGACTGAGATATCACAGTGGAACACATCTAGCAACGTAATAAATAATCCTTTTTCACTTGCTGACTCAGAAATTTGTTTGCAGGAATGACAGAATACGCGTGTTGAACCAGTAAAAAGAAACCCAGTCGAAGAAAAAATGCCAACAAGATGTCAATTTCAAGCCTCGGTAAGTTGACTAGTCATTCAAGAAGTTATATTAAACATTCCACAACTAGCCGGACAAATGAAATGCTGGAGACTAAACTCTAAACTAGATGTAAGAAGAAACGGATGAAGAGTTAGTTGGATGGAAAGCGCTGAAGTCACCAAAGGTATCTGATTTCACTCACTCCCCCCCTTTAATCGAACATACAATGATAGAATTAAAAGAGCATAGATCTTTAGGGAGGGGGGTATAAAACTTTGAAAAAATTTAAATTGCATATAATATTGAATGTGAAAATTAAATCTCATAAGTAACAATATAACATTGATAAAGTGCAGAAAAATTAAATTGGAAACAAAGAAAGTGTACTGAAGTATTTGATTAAAGAAGATACCTTAAAAAATGCGATTGTTTATCCCAATCGGGTTGTTGATTACTCGATCCCAGTAAAATTGACTGATGCAGCAATCTGAATTGCACCACCCCCACCAGGTGCTGAACAAGTACTCGTATTTATTACACTACGTTGTTTTTTAGATTTTTTCTTACCACCACGAAATAATTCACGATAGACATCAGATCGTAGAAAACGACAATATGAGTCTGATTTCATTAAATGAAAAATATGCTCTTCAGCAGCTTCAAAACAATATCGATTCGGTGTTGTATTCAATTCATCGTCAATATGACGTCGAACTAGATCAGCAATCCTACTATCAATATTTATTGGTTCTACTGCATTCGGTGCCAGGTATTGTTGATATATGTTCATTATTGATTGGCGAACTTCACGAAGAGGAGCACCTTTTAGTACCTAAAATTATTCAGCAGAAAAAATATTTAAGAGATACAGAAAAATAGATTTTGTCAACTGAATCCACATAAATTATTGAGCTGTTCATGTTAAAATATGCGTGGTCATGATTTATTATTTAAGAACGAAATGCTTGATAAAATATGGAAAGAACAGAAGTCAAAAAGACTTCACCTCGCCCCCAAAAGGTGTTAGTTCAGGTTGACTACATTAATTATCAAAGTAGCAGAATCTCATTATTGACAAAGTCGTGTACCTCATGTAGAAAATGTGCATACAACTAGTGTCAGGATTTCATCATGAGCTGACATCGGTTGTTGTTCCATTTTTGATAGTGGTTGTTTTGATAGGTTGACTACGCAGTCTATGGGCGTATTGTCTGGTTGCTGTTTTTTAATCTTGGCTAGCTTGGTTTTGAGGACTCTTCGTCTTTGTTCTCTGTGTTTTCCACTTGACAGTGAAATTGCGGTGATCAGCGTTGACAGGTGTTCTTGGTTGAGGGTTTTCTCTAATTTTGCTTTTTGGACATCTATTATTTGTTGATATTTGTTGATCCGATAATGTGCGTCCGTAATCATTAATTTGACCATTCGTCTTCCACATTGTTCGGCCAATTTCCACCCCATTGGGCAGTTGACTGGTGGCTTGTATCTTACACTATTTGGTAGGATTGAATGACGAAGGCACTCATGGAGAAAGAATAATTGTTCTCTGGTGGATCCTTGCCTTTTGGCGAAGTCTTCCCACTTTCGAACAGAGAGAAGCGTATCCCGCTCGTAAGATTTAGATATGATAGAGAAGATTTGTAGCTCAGGTGGATAATTTTGATGTGGTTTTGTTCTCTGAGCTGGATAGTTAGTTTGCGAAGCTTTCATCACCTTACTGGGTGACATCTTCAGCGCATACTTCAAATTGAAGTGAGCTTTTAGGTTTCTCCACGAGTTTATTAATCATTCCTCCTGGTGACCTTGAACGTGATTGGTTGTTTATGTATGTTTTCACACCTTCTAGGTTACTTGTGTTGGAACTGATTGTTTCTGTGACTTGAACTTTGGCCAATCGTGTGTGAAGTTTCTTTCTTATTGGTTGATAAATTTTGTCTATCTCGATGTGTCTATTGATTGATGATTCACTGGAATGCCAAGCTTCTAAAATTTCTCTAGCATTCTTGTTATTTCCTTTGTCTAATATTTGAACGTTGTCCCAGTCGAATTGATGTCCGTGGTTGTCTGTGTGTAGTGAAATGAGGGAGTGTATATCATGTCTTTTGACGGCTAGCTTATGTTCGTGGATACGAAGACGAAGGGGACGTCCACTTTGGCCAATGTAGTGTTTTTCACAGTTGTTACAGTTTATTTTGTAGATGATGTTGGTTTTGTCTTCTTTTGCTGTTGAGTCTTTTGGTTGACATAGAATTGAGTGCAGCGACTTTGTTGGTTTGTGTACGACGTCAATTCCTAAAGGTTTGAAGAGTCTTTTAGTGTTTTCTGAGATATCCTTTATATATGGTAAGGCGATTTTCTTTGTGTTTTCCTTGGTGGCTTTTGTTTTGGTAGGTTGGCTTGGGGGTATATGTCTCTTGATGAAATTCCGGGGATATCCATTCTTTTGGAAGACGTCCATGAGATACTTTTCTTCAATTTTTCTTAAGGTGGGAGTGCTGCAGTGAGTCCTTGCTCTCTTGAATAGTGTTTGTATGCAGTTCCTTTTGTGTGCTATTGGGTTGTTGCTGTTGTAATTCAGTATTTGGTCTGTGTGAGTTGATTTCCTATAAACTTGAGTTTCTAATTCTCCTGTAGTTGTTCGCCTGACTAAGACGTCCAAAAATGGTATTTTGTTCTCGGATTCCTCTTCTCTTGTGAATTTGATGTCGTTGAAGACGTTGTTTATTAAGTTGTGAGTTTTGTCTAATTCGTTTCTTTTGATTATTACAAATGTGTCGTCCACGTAGCGTATCCAAATCTTGGGTTTGATCTTTGGTAGAATTATGTTTTCGAGTCTTTGCATCACTGCTTCTGCAATCAAACCTGATATTGGCGATCCCATGGGTGTTCCTTTGACTTGTTCATATATTTGGTCGTTGAATTGGAAGTATGTTGTTAGGCATAGATTTATGCATTCCATCCAGCTTGTGTGTTGCATTTTTGATTGTTGTGGAAGTTGTTCGTCGTTGCTAAGTAATTGCTCCATGGTTTCTTTTGCTAGTTTTTGTCCGATAGAGGTATATAATGCTGTCACGTCGAAGGATACCATTATTTCTTGTTCATCTATTTGGATGTCTCTGATTTTCTCTAGGAATTGGATAGCAGAGTTGATGGAGTGATCACAGGATTCCGTTAGGTGTTTTAGTTTTCTGTATAATTCCTTGGACAAATTATATGTTGGAGTTCCTGGGAGTGATACAATTGGTCGTAACGGGATATTTGCCTTGTGTATTTTGGGTCTGCCGTAGAATCGAGGTAGGACTGGTCCATTGGATTTCATTCGCCATTGGTCTTGTTTTGTGATCTGTCCAGTTTTGCTGAGCTTGTTTAAGGTCCTTTGGATGCGGTTGTCCAATGTTTGTATGGGATTTGTTGGGAGTTGTTGATATACATCTTCATCTTTGAGTAGTTCTTCAGCTTTCTCGGTGTATTCTTCTCTGTCCATGACTACTGTTGTTCTTCCTTTGTCGGCTGGTAAAATGACGATGTCCTTCCTATTTTTCAGCTTTTTGAGGGCCTTTAGTTCTTGAGAGTTGAGTTGTGTGTGTTGTCTTTTCTGTTTGACCATTGGTACAATTGTTTGGCGTATCTCTTCCTGTGTTCAACCAGACAATACGCCCATAGACTGCGTAGTCAACCTATCAAAACAACCACTATCAAAAATGGAACAACAACTACTACAAAAAGGATTAAACTACAACACCGGAGATGCTTCAAAAACTGATTTCTTCGCTGCCCTTGAATCATTACTCAAATCATCAAACTTGAACGAGGAAACACAGGAAGAGATACGCCAAACAATTGTACCAATGGTCAAACAGAAAAGACAACACACACAACTCAACTCTCAAGAACTAAAGGCCCTCAAAAAGCTGAAAAATAGGAAGGACATCGTCATTTTACCAGCCGACAAAGGAAGAACAACAGTAGTCATGGACAGAGAAGAATACACCAAGAAAGCTGAAGAACTACTCAAAGATGAAGATGTATATCAACAACTCCCAACAAATCCCATACAAACATTGGACAACCGCATCCAAAGGACCTTAAACAAGCTCAGCAAAACTGGACAGATCACAAAACAAGACCAATGGCGAATGAAATCCAATGGACCAGTCCTACCTCGATTCTACGGCAGACCCAAAATACACAAGGCAAATATCCCGTTACGACCAATTGTATCACTCCCAGGAACTCCAACATATAATTTGTCCAAGGAATTATACAGAAAACTAAAACACCTAACGGAATCCTGTGATCACTCCATCAACTCTGCTATCCAATTCCTAGAGAAAATCAGAGACATCCAAATAGATGAACAAGAAATAATGGTATCCTTCGACGTGACAGCATTATATACCTCTATCGGACAAAAACTAGCAAAAGAAACCATGGAGCAATTACTTAGCAACGACGAACAACTTCCACAACAATCAAAAATGCAACACACAAGCTGGATGGAATGCATAAATCTATGCCTAACAACATACTTCCAATTCAACGGCCAAATATATGAACAAGTCAAAGGAACACCCATGGGATCGCCAATATCAGGTTTGATTGCAGAAGCAGTGATGCAAAGACTCGAAAACATAATTCTACCAAAGATCAAACCCAAGATTTGGATACGCTACGTCGACGACACATTTGTAATAATCAAAAGAAACGAATTAGACAAAACTCACAACTTAATAAACAACGTCTTCAACGACATCAAATTCACAAGAGAAGAGGAATCCGAGAACAAAATACCATTTTTGGACGTCTTAGTCAGGCGAACAACTACAGGAGAATTAGAAACTCAAGTTTATAGGAAATCAACTCACACAGACCAAATACTGAATTACAACAGCAACAACCCAATAGCACACAAAAGGAACTGCATACAAACACTATTCAAGAGAGCAAGGACTCACTGCAGCACTCCCACCTTAAGAAAAATTGAAGAAAAGTATCTCATGGACGTCTTCCAAAAGAATGGATATCCCCGGAATTTCATCAAGAGACATATACCCCCAAGCCAACCTACCAAAACAAAAGCCACCAAGGAAAACACAAAGAAAATCGCCTTACCATATATAAAGGATATCTCAGAAATCACTAAAAGACTCTTCAAACCTTTAGGAATTGACGTCGTACACAAACCAACAAAGTCGCTGCACTCAATTCTATGTCAACCAAAAGACTCAACAGCAAAAGAAGACAAAACCAACATCATCTACAAAATAAACTGTAACAACTGTGAAAAACACTACATTGGCCAAAGTGGACGTCCCCTTCGTCTTCGTATCCACGAACATAAGCTAGCCGTCAAAAGACATGATATACACTCCCTCATTTCACTACACACAGACAACCACGGACATCAATTCGACTGGGACAACGTTCAAATATTAGACAAAGGAAATAACAAGAATGCTAGAGAATTTTTAGAAGCTTGGCATTCCAGTGAATCATCAATCAATAGACACATCGAGATAGACAAAATTTATCAACCAATAAGAAAGAAACTTCACACACGATTGGCCAAAGTTCAAGTCACAGAAACAATCAGTTCCAACACAAGTAACCTAGAAGGTGTGAAAACATACATAAACAACCAATCACGTCCAAGGTCACCAGGAGGAATGATTAATAAACTCGTGGAGAAACCTAAAAGCTCACTTCAATTTGAAGTATGCGCTGAAGATGTCACCCAGTAAGGTGATGAAAGCTTCGCAAACTAACTATCCAGCTCAGAGAACAAAACCACAT